TTCGGCTCGAGCGATTCGCTCTCATTTCCCTTCGGCATCTTTGTTTCAATATTGGTCCTTGTATGATGTCTCATTCTGTCTCGGTCCTCCCTCTTTTGTGTGTATGGGATGAACTAGCTCGGATGGAATGATATGTTTGTCGTTTTTGCCTAGTTATCATCATTGCTTGTCACTTTGATCCGTTGTGAGTATGGTAGGAGTTCTGATGTTGTTGCGATGTCTGATGTGTGATGACACCTTGCATGCTCGGAAATGATTGCTTGTGGGACCACTGAGTGATTAGATGAATGGGTAGTTGTCCATGACACGTGGCGATTTTTGCAAGAGGGATTAAATTCTCACTTTGGCGTAAGCGCCATTCAATAGGCCCGGGTGCAAGCGAACACCTCGTGTGGATACGTGTAAGCGGGATCTGAATTGCGCGGCCTACACGTGTCCACGCACGGCGAGTCACGATCGTTGACGAGCCTGGCACCTCCAGTATCGGGATAGGCGAGGAATTTTCCTCCTTTCAAACACCTGAGCTGGCAGGAATTTCCGACACCATATCTGGAGATCCCCCTGTCAGTCAGGTGCGTACGGGAGGCTTCCACTACGCTGCAATGACAAGATGACGTACACACGGGACTCCGAGTACTTCGAGCCCTGGGAAGAAGAAGAATATCTTAGGCGGAGATACCCGGAATTTGCCCGCCTAACCGAGAACCGATTGTGCCCCAGGGAGTTTCACTGCGCCGTAACCAGCGATCCAAGGTGCCCGGATTACCCAACTACGTATAACACGCAATACTCCATATCCCCCGGTTTCGTCGTTATCGCTACCAATTTCCCTCCCTTCCATCTCCTGCTCCCGTATCATCAACTCACGGTGGTACTGTGGAATTCCATCGCCCCGTATTGGCCCCACACGCCGTGCAGAAACTGCAGACGACGTGGCCACTGCCGAACCCCTGGAACTATGGAGCCTAACCATAACGCGCGGCAACAGACGCCATATGTCTGCACCCGAAGGTCCGAGTCATAGGAATCGCAACCCTCACGAACGGGCCTCTCCTGAACCGCCGTCACCAAAATAGACGGATTGGACGGCCCTTGATGCACCACGCATGCCATCTGCCTTATGCTGCACGACATCGACCGCCATCAGACTGGAAGTAACCCGCCCCCTAGCCCTATTGCATCTATGCCCGTGGACCCTTGCCACAGGAGATCTTAGTTCCGACCTGGGACTCCACCCCCACTTTCCCCAAAAATCCTTGGCATACCCCTTTTTGCACCAGGAAGTCGCGCCGGGCGTGAGGTTGGTATCGGAGCCCGACAAGGGTTCTAGGATTCATAGCTGGGCGATCTGGCTAACAGGGGACGACCTCGACCCCGGAACGTGCATCGACGCGACCCCGTCGTTACCAGAAGCCGGTCTGCGGCTCAACGGGCGGTCAACATGAACGCTAATCAACGGAACCCGAATCCACAACAGAACCCCAACCAACTGATAAATCCTAATCAAACCGCACCACAAGCACGGGCTCCCATGCCATCCGATCTTTATCTATTTGACCCTGCACATCATCTCGCTGGAGCATGGCTGGCCACGCTCCGAGCTCAGCAGTACGATGATAACGAGGCACAAGTGAACATTACCGCTCGACTGGGAGGAGACGCTCATCATTGGTTCAGCACCTATGTATGGGTAGATCTCCCGACGTTCGAGCGAGATTTCCTGAATCGATTTGATTATATCCACCTTGAACATGCCGTTTTCATGATTAAGGATCGAGTTCAAAAACCTCTCGAATATGTCGCCGAGTATCGAAACCGATTCTATAGGATGTTTGGGAAAACAGAATGAGGCAAACAGGCAGGCAGAGATTTATTCATCGACGGACTTCGCAGCCTAACGATGAGGGCGAAACTGCGAAAACAGTTCTCCCCCATCAATCACACGCTGCAACAGATCATGGCAGCCGCAGAGGAAATGGAACGAAAGTTCGTCGGAAGTTTCCTAGAAGGAGAAGATTATCCTTGGGAAGGAGACTCATCCGAACTGGCAAGGGCTAAGGCTGATGAGCTGGCCGCATTACAAAATAAGTTTGAAAACATGGGGTTTGTGTCTGGCCCGGTCACCTATCTAGAACAAATAAGCCCCAAACGACCCACCCCGAGTGTGGCTACAAGCATGCCCGTTCCAGTAATGACAGCACCCCCATCGCCAATCGAAAGTCCCGCATGATCAAATGAAGCAACTGCCTTATTAGAACTAACCAAAACACTGGTCAATCTGATTCAGGAAAGCAAAAAGGAACAGCGGGAACACAATGCCCGAATAGAAGCGATGATGAGGTCGATGCGACCAATAGCGGTGCGTGCCGCGCCGCTTCAACACGGATTGGCTTGGGTACCACCTCCTGCAGGGGTCCGTGGCAACCTGAATGTTTGTTACACGTGTCATCAACCAGGGCACATACACCGGGATTGCCCGCATCAACCCCCCGAACCGCGAGTCGGGGCTGCACCTATAGCAGCAGCCCCGATCGCTAACGGGCCGGGACGAGTAAGGGCGCTGATGGAAGAAATGGAAGGAGGCGGAAGCGCACTAGCTATGATGGAGGAAGCTGCTTAATTAATCCCGTTGGATCAGCACGTAACGCTCGGATATTCGGGGCTTGGGATGATTGGAACGATTAGACCCGCGCCGGAACAAAGGGAAGTGGCGGAATGACGACCCTCTCCCGGAGAGATGGAGTCGGAAGGGCCCACTTTCGTCACTGGGGAGATCAATGTTTTGAATATCGTTCTAGCCTTGGATCATCGGATTCCTCTTTCGATCGGTCATCTACTTTCGATATCGGGACAAGCCAACGAACGAATGTTGCAACATTGCAAGGCGAATCGGAAATGATTCGCCCTTGCCCGAACAGCGAGCACAAAAGCAAAAAATCCCACGCAAGATGAAAATGCAGCGGGTACTTCGGACCCGATATGGTTAGGATTGATTTAAAAGGATGATCATTTCCTACGGATTAAACCAATACCATGGAAATTCGCAGAGTGCGATATCAAGGTATGGGGAATCCCGTATAATGCTATTATTGATTCCGGAGCCGCTGTCCTGGCTATCTCATTACGGGTAGTTAAAAGGGCAGGAAGAAAGAATGATCTGATCATGCTTGCGGAAAAAAATCAGCTCGTTTCAGTAGACGAAGAGGAAATTAAAATGGTGGGACGGATGACCAATGTTGCCTTCCGATTAGGGAAAGTGCATGCTTTGGGAGATGTCGTAGTTTTAGACGTAAATACTTACGACGTCCTTTTTGGCCTTCCCGTTCTTGTGGCCTTGCGAGCCAATCTGGACTTCGAGAGGCGATCGATTGTCCTTCAGAATACAGGAGGAAAGCCCTATGTTGTACCTATGAGGCTGACCCTTCGAACCACGGCTAATGTAACCCCACGAGTTTCTCCAATAATAGCGGGAACTCTCCGCGTGATTACTTAGGATAACTCTGCCGACGGTGGGCAATCTCTGAAGGACGCGGACAACAGTGACGAGGACAATCCCATAATTCTAGAAATGAAGCAACAACGTATCTATTACCCTGTGCAACGAGCAAACACGAAACCACTAAGCCTGACTGATGAGAGTTTACAAAGAACGCATGCCATGATTATGGGTGAATGCCTCGTGCAGATTTCGAGGATGGTCGATTCTTTGGAACCCCCTCGAACCTTGTACGAAGGTATCTCCCCTTTACTCGCACTATATAATGACAAAAGGTACTACCGCGACATCACAAATCTTCCACGATCCCTTTTGTCACCCGCAAAAGAGATACGATTGATACGCTCAGGGGCGGAGACCAATTCTTTGGAAACCCCTAAGCGCCTTGAAACTGGGCTCGGAATCAAAATCGCAACGAAACCCGTGCCATGGCAGGACATCCGAGATGGAATAACGCCGGAAGAACACATGGCCATTCGGGAGCAGGACGCACAGATGATGGTCACGGTATTCTCCTGGCGATCGGATAACTCGTTTATTTCCGCACCCCCACTTGAAAACGCTAAGCGGGTTAGTACGAAATAGATTGATGTGCGTATATGGGATCAACTGTATGAATTGCACGTACCCCAATATGTACGTGATGAAATCCATCACCTAATCGCAGACATTTTGAAGGAATACAAAGGAGCTATTAGTGTGACGGACTGTCACAGACATCGGACTGTCGATAGTCAAGGAGGAGGATCGACCGAAAACGGCCTTCGTATTGTTTGAAGGCACGTGGCAGTGGGTTCGGTATCCGATGGGGATTTGCAACGCGCCTGACACGTTTCAGCGGGCTATGAATGTGACATTCCAGAACTTCTTCAACAAAACGCGGCTCACTCAAGGGATGATTAACTTCTGCGTCATCGTGTACATGGACGGCATCCTGGTCTACTTGGAAACCTTTCACGGGCATGCACAACACATCGAGTGGACGCTGGGAGCTGTGAGAGATGCTGGGTTCAAGATCGCGCTCGAGAAGAGCGAGTTTTTCCTCTCGGAAATCTCGTTCTTGGGTTACGTGGTGACACGTGGAGGAGTGCGGCCAGATTCGAGGAAAGTCGCGGCGGTGAAAAATGCTTCTATTCCCACGTCATTGACGCAGGTTCGAGCCTTCCTGGGACTAGCATCGTACTACCGCCGTTTTATCAAAGGCTTCGCCGAGATCGCACGACCTCCAACGAACCTACTACGAAAGGAACAGCCCCTCAACTGGGACGCGGAGTGCGAACAGGCCTTTGCCACCCTCAGGCACGCCCTGGCGACGACACCCATTTTGATCCGGCCGGTCCTTACGAAGCAGTTCATTCTTATCACGGACCGGTAGCCAGAGGCGATCTCCGCTATTCTAGCGCAGAAGGGGAACGACGACCGAGAACACGTCATCGAGTACGCATCACGCACGGTGCCAGACGAGCGGAGGAATGATTCGGCCCCGCAGGGCGAATGTTACGCAGTGGTCTGGGGGATTCAGCACTTCCATCCGTACTTGTACGGACAAAAGTTCCTCCTTGTAACCGATCACGAGCCATTACTGGCTCTCAACAAGCTCACTAATTACACGGGTATGATTGGACGGTGGGCGGTGCGCCTACAGGAGTACGACTTCGACATCATCCATCGAAAGACAGAGAGGCACGGCAACGCGGACGGCTTGACACGTCTGCATCGCCCCGCTAAGGTACCTAAGGGCGAAGAAATCATTTCGCGAAAGGAACCGGAGTCAACGAACGGACCCGAGTACGGATAAGTGTCAGTCCTTCCATGTGGCAAGAAGACCACGATTGGCAATGGGTGACGGAGGTAATCTTGCGACTCCTCTCTCTCCCCTTTCATCCTCATCTCGTCTTTCCCCTCCCGACAAATTTTGTTATTTTTGCGAAGCAATCTCACGCGTCTACTCGATCCCTATGCGTCCTAGTGGGGAGGGATATGCAGAATGTATAGATTGTGGGCAATGTGTCGCACGAGCCCACAGCTCGTGTATCCAGTACAGAAATGACAGTAAGACTTGGTTGTGCCCCTTGTGTCGGGTTGATAAGATCCCAACCGAGGCTCGATTTCTTGACGCCACGTCGGAAGGGTTGGAAAAGTCCCGGAAGTTTAGAAGGGCCGAGGTATGGATGGATATAGCTCAAATAGCTACCTTGATAGGTAACCCCCTCCAGGACTTCACTAAAGAAGACCGGAGGGCCAATGAAAGGGCTCGGGACTACCGCTGGAACGAGGGCCGCCAAGGGAAGATAGCGCCACGATTCTTCGGGCGATTTCGTGTGATCGAGCTCGGCCCGAACGGGGCGAACACCGTGTGCTTGGTGCCTGAGGTCTCGGGAAGCCGATCGGCTCGTCCGATCGTCCGCCACGTGTCCTATCTACGTCTCCTCCCTTCCTCCCCATCTCCAGCTGTGTTTGCTTCCTCATTCGCTACAGAGGAGGACGACGACTCTTTATCGCTCTCATCCCCTCCTGCTTCTCTTACTCTGTCCCCGTCGCCATCACCATGAGTTTTCTCACTGAGCGAGCTCTCCGCGATCACATGCTGGCGCCAGGTGGGGACATCTCGGCAATGCGGCAAGTCCATCATCCGCGATTCAGTCTGGATCTTCTACGCTTCACGCAATTCTTCAGCACAACGGGGGTGTATGCAATAGCGGAATTTCGTTTTGCGGCTAATCGTCAGGCACTCGTTCTTGCCGAAGCTTCGGCTTATCGCCTACTGTCCGCACCTGGAGTCAGCCACATGTCGACCGTCGTCGTTTTCAGCGGGGACATCAGCTCGATAGATCCTTTGTGGCATACGACCGTTCGGGCAGAGCTGCGGAAGCGGGGTCAACAGTTGGCAGTAGAAGTGAATCAGTGGCTTGCGTGGCACGGTGACAATCTCGTCGTCACCGACAACATCGACGTCGGAGGGCTCCGTACGTCCCGACACGAGCCACCGGTGGCGTTTCCAGAACTCGTCCCCTTTCAACGCCCCCAATGAACCGATCCCAGCTATCTACTTTCGCCCTCCCCTCTCTTTTCCCTACCTTGTGACAATCTAGCCCTTGCCCCCGTCTCTCCTTTCGTCTGGAGCCACTCGCTGTCCCCCTCGATCGAAGACAGTGGGAACAGTGGCGCGAGCACTTCATCGATCTCTCAGTGTGTCTGATCGGAGTGCAGTTGACGTGGATGCGGGACATCGAGCACCACGCATGGATCGAATACGCGGAGCTGCTGATCGTCCAAGCCTGGAGGACAGAGGTGGAGGGCGACCTTCTCGGATTTCTGTTCGGATCGGTGCGGCCCGACCATCGCCAGCTGATCATGCGGGAACTCACAGTCCCCCTCGCGCAGCTGGTCGATGATCTTTCCCTCGACATCATCTCGCAGTGTGACGAAAGCCCGGTCCCGTACGTCCTCTCGCAAACGCTGTCGCCCTATCTGCATTGGTCGGCTTGCCTCGAAGGACAAGAAGGAGACAACAACCAGCCATCGCAAGTCAAGTACCTAAACCCGCGAAGGATAATTGACATCTCCTTCTTCCAGCCTCACACGACCTCCAAAGACGAAGTATTAGCGTTGGAGGAGGAAGAAGAAGAGGACGACGAAGAAAAGGAACAAGAAGAGGACGACGAGGAAGAAGAAGAAGAAACCCCAGAAGAAGGGAGTTACAGTGAGCATAGCGAAGAAGAGCAGAGCGAAAAAGAAGAAGAAGAGGACCAGGAGCAAGAGGAGTCTGAGCGAGAAAATTCGGGTGAGGAGGCGAACTGCACAGAGGTCCAGAAGGAAGATCCAAAGGCGACGGCGCGACGCAGAGAAGAGATTGCAGCCGGTAAGCAGCCGCTAGAGTACGCAAGTGGAACGGATCTGCCAATCTCAGACGGTCCGACCAAGGATCCGGAGCCGCCCAAGCCAGAGGATGGGGACCTTGCTACCAAGACTTCGAGCGCACTGGCCAGGTGGCGGCGAAATCGATCCCCCTCCCCCTCCACCTCCACCCGTCCGGTAGTTCGAACTTGTACCGATGCGGGGCATCGGGCTTCGTCCCCGGTCCTTATCCCGCCGTCCCCTTGACTATCTCACCCTCCACTAGATCACCACTCGTGTCACCTTCCCCCGCAATCCCTTTCCAATCGACACCTTCCGCTTTTTCTACGCCACCCTTCTCGCTGTCACGGTTCATCCCCATCCCTCTACCCGGTGTGCCACCCCCGTCTTCTGTCTCCACGCCCTTCTCTTCAGTGCCGCATGGCGAGGCCACAACATCATCGAGGTCTACTGCATGATCACGGGGACCATCCCCGCGTGCGAGAACCACGATCGCTTTCGCGCGGCGCTCTTCCGAACCTTCACCACCCTCTACCCCGACTATCTCGCATCCCTTCCTCATAGTGGTAATCGATTCCCTTGCTTTCATCGGATCATCCGATATCAGGAGCTTCCGGTGACAGTGGTGGGAATGGAGAATTTCCTACCCTCGCTCCCGACTGACCCACCCCATTGCCATGCCCCCATGTATCGTCTTCCCTTTCCCCTCCCCGACGGTCATTGATGCACGGTTGATTGGCGCGTGCCACGACGATGACACGAATAATCCCCTCCTTGGATTGAAGAGAGCCCTTCCTAAGGAATTTTTAGGAGAGAGCCACATTTGCCACACTGGATGACTTCCACACTCCTTCGCACGATTGGTGGCAACGTAGAAAGCTCCGCGTGTCGATCGATTAGAGAGATCGACAAGTGTCGAAATGACAAGCAAGCAGGAACTTGCTTAAGATTGGAACCCCATGGGCGTCACATATGTGACGAACCAATTTCTGTTCCGCCGATTTTCTGCGCGTTAGCAACGAGGGGTCCCAAGATGGGAAGGATGGGCCAATTACGGGAGATCGGGATCGAAGGGAAATTGCATCGGTGTCCTCGCGTCTTCGTTTTTTTTGCGTCTCTTCTTTTCGGATGGCTGGGTTCCGGGCCGGGCAAGTCCCGAGATGGTTGATTGAGTGGCTGTCACGCTGACAAAGGTGCGATTAATTATGTTTGACGTCGCTTCTTTCTTGTTCTGTTGTCGGGTTTTAGGCGCGGAGGTCGCGCGGGAAGTTTTGCTTCTTTTTGAATTTCTTTTTCGAATCTTGTCGAGCCCTCGATGGCTCTCGGAATTTCGAACTTTCTTTTCGGAATTTGCGTTTATTAAAATTCCTCTTTCAATAAGTTTAGGAATTTAGGGATTTAGGAATTTGGAATTTCTTTTGCCGTGCGTTGTTTTTCTTGCGCGCTTCTTTCTGCGGCCGCAACGGAGCTTTGATTAGTCAGCGCCCTTAATCTCGTGTGTAACTGTAGTTTTTGGGCAGGCGCCATTGTAACTGTATCTCTCTTCTTGAGCTTCGTCTTTCCCGCCCTCTCCTTTCCTTTTTGCTGTGGCTGTCTAGCCCGCGGGCTGCATGATCGGATCGATGCGTGGTGAGTGGCTACGTCCCCCACGCCGCGGTCTGGCCATGCAGAACGTAGGCGCTCCCTCTCCTAATCTCCTTTCTAAGTCTTTNGGATCGATGCGTGGTGAGTGGCTACGTCCCCCACGCCGCGGTCTGGCCATGCAGAACGTAGGCGCTCCCTCTCCTAATCTCCTTTCTAAGTCTTTGCAATTCTGTGTTCTTCGCGCTTGCATGCGCGCCATAAATTTCGGCTGCGGGATTAGATAGCTCTCTTAACCAGTTGCTGGAAGCTCGGGGAGCGCGATCAGTGAGGGTCGGCTCACGAGCGAAGTAAGAGGTAAGTTGAAGTGGGAGTCGGGCGACCCGACGAGCTGGCGCCAAATGCGCTGGGTTGACGCGTTGGGCTACGACGGACTGTAGCGCGCGGGCGAACCTGAAGGGAGCAGGAGGACTAAGCGGGGTGACGACTTTGTGGGTTGGTGCGTGACGACGGACTGTCCGCATCGGAGAGAGAGAGAGAGAGGAAGAGAGAGTTGAGGTTGATGGACGCGGATTTGCAATTTTCTTTGTCTTTTCCTCTAATTTTGTATATAAGTTTTGATTTCGGCTCGAGCGATTCGCTCTCATTTCCCTTCGGCATCTTTGTTTCAATATTGGTCCTTGTATGATGTCTCATTCTGTCTCGGTCCTCCCTCTTNTTCGGCTCGAGCGATTCGCTCTCATTTCCCTTCGGCATCTTTGTTTCAATATTGGTCCTTGTATGATGTCTCATTCTGTCTCGGTCCTCCCTCTTCTGTGTGTATGGGATGAACTAGCTCAGATGGAATGATATGTTTGTCGTTTTTGCCTAGTCATCATCATTGCTTGTCACTTTGATCCGCTGTGAGTATGGTAGGAGTTCTGATGTTGTTGCGATGTCTGATGTGTGATGACACCTTGCATGCTCGAAAATGATTGCTTGTGGGACCACTGAGTGATTAGATGAATGGGTAGTTGTCCATGACACGTGGCGATTTTTGCATAAGGGATTAAATTCTCACTTTGGCGTAAGCGTCAGCCAATAGGCCCGGGTGCAAGCGAACACCTCGTGTGGATACGTGTAAGCGCGATCTGAATTGCGCGGCCTACACGTGTCCATGCGCGGCGAGTCACGATCGTTGATGAGCCTGGCACCTCCAGTATCGGGATAGGCGAGGAATTTTCGTCCTTTCAAACACCTGAGCTGGCAGGAATTTCCGACACCATATCTGGAGATCCCCCTGTCAGTCAGGTGCGTACGAGAGGCTTCCACTACGCCTCAATGACAAGATGACGTACACACGGGACTCCGGGTACTTCGAGCCCTGGGAAGAAGAAGAACATCTTAGGCGGAGATACCCGGGATTTCCCTGCCTAACCGAGAACCGATTGTGCCCCAAGGAGTTTCACTGTGCCGTAACCAGCGATCGAAGGTGCCCCGATTACCCAACTACCTACTGAGCTATCCCGGCCGGCTTTATTGAGTTAGCTTATCACAAAGCTGCAATTATGTCAAGCATTTAGGGTACAAAATATTATAAAAATCTAAGAAACAAAAACTTGCTTGAATATTATTATAGTGAATATATATGTTCTATATTTATACTTCATATCCCCCGACTTCGACGTTATTGCTACCAATTTCCCTCCCTTCCATCTCCTCCTCCCATATCACCAACTCACGGCGGTACCGTGGAATTCCATCGCCCCGTATTGGCCCCACACGCCGTGCAGAAACTGCAGACAACGCGGTCACCGCCGAACCCCTGGAACTACGGAGCCTAACCATAACGCGCGGCGACAGACGCCACATGTCTGCACCCGAGGGTCCGACTCATAGGAATCGCAACCCTCACGAACGGGCCTCTCCCGAACCGCCGTCACCAAAACAGACGGATTGGACGACCCTTAATGCACCACGCATGCCATCTGCCTTATGCTGCACGATATCGACCGCCATCAGACCGGAAGTAACCTGCCCCTTAGCCCTATTGCATCTATGCCCCTAGACCCTTGCCACAGGAGATCTCAGTTCCGACCTGGGACTCCACCCCCACTTTCCCCAAAAATCCTTGGCACACCCCTGTTCGCACTTCGAGGCCCACATCCCACTCCGATCAGGAAGTCGTGTCGGGCGTGAGGTTGGGCGTCACAGGATATCATCCACCCAGATCAGACAAGATTCATTAAGGGCGGGAGCATCCAGGATAACATCCTCTTAGTGAACGAGTTGATCAAACCAGCAAGATAGTCTAAAGAAATGCCGCAACCATCTTCATTGACTTTGAGAAAGCTTACGACCACGCAGACTGGACATTCTTATATAAATGCCTGGAAAAACTAAACTTTGGACCACGATTTAGACAATGGGTGGAAATTATGCATAAAAATGCAACAATGAAGGTCATGGTCAATGACAACCTAGCACCGCCCATCAACCTGTAGAGATCTGTTAGACAAGGCGACCCATTGGCCCCATTCCTTTTTGTTATAACGATGGAAGTGTTGACAGCGAACTCGAGGGCCTGTAAGGATATCAAGAGAATACAAATATCCTCAATCCCAAAAGAAGCCATCCCGGTCTGCTCAATGTTTGCCGATGACCTCACCCTGATGGTGGACACGACTCACGAGTCTATGAAGGAAGTCCAAAATATTATGGAGCGTTTTTGCACCTTATCCGACATGAGAGTTAATTAGGGGAACAAGACCTTCGGATGGTGGATTCACCACTAAGGAGTAAGACCCCCAGAGCAACCAAGAGTCATGTGGGTCCCCCAAGAGGCTCCCATCTGCATGCTAGGAGTCTCTTTGATGACAAATGGTAGACCATCAACCAACAATGAATGAATATCTACCCCCCCCCTAGAGAAGCTAGCACTATGGAGGGATAAGCATACCTCACTAATCTGCAGGACCCTGGTGATCAACAATAACGTACTTGCCTCTCTTTGCTACTCGTCGGCCATCTGGGGGTTGGACAGGGATGCCCTTCGGCCCCTCCAGCAACAATGTGATCCTCATTTTTATGGAGAGGCGACCACGAAAAATACAATGTGATCAACAGGGTCGCATGGCAGGGGATAATTCAGCCCAAAGTGAAAGGGGGGCTGGGTATAATCGACCCGGCAACACAAACCAAGGCATTGGCCATACAATGGCTCAAATGCCTGCTTTTCTGCCCACATATCCCATGGAAGGAGTTGGCCTTAGAGCAAATTGCCAGACTGACCCTTGAGACACCGGCCCACACCAACCTGCTCACATTGTTCGAAAACAGGGAATGGCCAATCTCGATGCATCGGTCCCGTCAAGAATCTCCCCAGGCAGACTCACCAAGGCAAGAGGTGAGGAAAATTCCTATGCAATGACCCCTTTTGGCCAGCCCTCCTAAAGATATGGAGGAAGCTCCCTCTGCCAGATAGACTCCAACCAGAAACATGGGACAAGGTAGCCTGATAGCCCCTGTTCGGTAATAGAGGGATAGTGAACTCCAGGGGTCAAGTCCTCCATTGCACTGACTCCCCTTGGAAAGGCTGGGTGAAAAGGGGAGTTCTCAGAATAAGGGATATTTAGGACAAGGACATAAAATATTGGATTAGCCGTGACCAACTCAAAGAGAGTGCGATACTGCCACAGACTTGAGGAAGCGCTGGAAAATATAGTAGAACGTCCCCTTGGAATGATGG